TAACGGCGTCCTTTTTAAAATTGATGATTCGGCGTCTTTTCTTTCTTTTGGAAAATTGGGACTTTTTGAACACGCCGCGGGACAAATTTTGAAAAATTGGGACTGTCCCGCCAGAAGCGGGACGTCTGGTCAACTTAGTTTTGAAGGAAGAGCAAACCTCGAAAAAACTAAACTTTGGAAGGTGCTCTTAGCTGCAGTTATGTCTTCAAATCATATCTGATGCTTCCCCCCCCCCATTCCCCACAACAATGAAACAAATAGGCTTGAACAGACTACTTCCGTTTGAATCCTTTTCTGGGAATTGCTGACATTGGCTGACTCAGTTTATGCTTGCGCACTGAATCGCAACAAATAGTCAATCACATTTTAATCTAATCTGTTTTGCAAACCTGGCTTGAATATGATTCAGTATTTTGTACCAATCCAGAGAATGGAGATTCCATAGGGAAGCATGTCTACCAATACAACCTTAGTATTTTACAACATATAAAAGATAACATGACTGCCGTCTACTTTCCTCTGTGCTATTAATCTCACAAGTATACAGTATACTCTACAGAAAGGCAAGGGGAGAGATAGCTTTTGATTAATGGTAGAAAGAACCCTACCTGATCAATATTAGAAAAATTATTTGGAAAGGACAGTACGTGTTGTCAATATGCTTCTCTAACAAATGCTTTGTGAAACTTTGTTGTAGTTCCTTCTCTAGCAGACTGTGAAAACCAAAGCTGGGCTGTAAAGCAGTTGAACTACAAACACAATCTGCAAGCAGTTGGTAAGTGGACAATAAATGCTGTTGGTAGGCTCTTAGGTTATTTACAACAGAAGACTCTGTTGAGAACCAGTGTAATAAGCACAGGGCTGGAAACCAGGGGTCTGTGAGTTCTAGTCCCACCTTGGGCACAAAGCCTCTGGGAGACCTTGAGCTAGTCACTCTTTCAGCCCTAAGACACAAGCAATGTCAATCACTTCTGAAATCTTGCCAGGAAAACTCAGGAACCTGTCCAGGCAGTTGTCAAGAGACAATGAAGAAGGATAAGAAAGACTAAAGCTACAATTGTGTCAAGAAATCCCTTTCCGAATCCCTTTTGGGTTCAGTTAGTACTAGGCATATTGATTGGGTCTGTCAGGAGTAATCCAATAGCACATGGAAGACCATAGAGTCCTTGCATATAGTGTAGATAATATCAAGGCCCATGCAGAGTGTTTGTGTATATTCCCAATTCTGGTAAGCCAGCATTGGGCTTCTAAAGCACATCCAACAGCAGCCTTTCTCTCATCATCAACAGCAGTTGGGATTCTGCGGTGGCTGCTATCTGAAGATGGCAGGAATTATCCCTTTTCACTAGCAGCAGCAGCAGCCTTCTAATGAAACTTCCCAGTTTGGGCAGATAAGAAGAATTTTAGGCAACTGATAATGATTTGGCTATTCAGAAAGATTTTTTCTCTTGGGAGACCATTAAGGTGTACTAACATGAATCCATCTTCAACATTCTCAATAATTCTTGTGTGAAATCAGTGTTTAAGCAAATGTGCCTTCATAGAATTGGTCTGGCTCCCAAAGGCTGGTATAGTCTCATAGAAGGGAATTTGTACTCATTCCTAAGAGCATCTTTGAAAGTCATTCAACACAGTGTTTTTTTCCCCTATCAGATGAGATACGGACCAGTAGCCCCAGACAGAGAAGATGGCCATCTTCCCAGATTCATCGTTCATTGTCTGGCCGGCATAGGCAATCCCAAAACGTGGCTACTCAGCTGCTGACAATCTCTATACCAGTGGATGGGGTGAGTTAAAGCCAAGTGTCACACCACGTCATTTGGTGAAGAAATTATTCTACGGAAGAAAACCACGCTGCTACTAGGGATTTGGGGAGTTATAGTGTAATGTTCATGGAGGGCACCTTGAACTTATGAAATATTGTTCAAGGAACTTCTCTATCTTGCTATAGAATTTGGCGGCAGTGGGGGGGTGTTAAATAATCCTCCGTTTTCCCTTAAAAGGCCCTAAATGCCCTCATGTTGCAGGGCCGATTCCCAAGCTATGCTTTTTGGAGTGGGGGAATGGGGTAAGTTAAGCTAAAAGTAGGGAGAAATGATTTAGAAGTAATAACATTGCAGAGGAAAGAATTGGTCTCCAAGAATTCACTGTGACCAAGGTTTTATAGCTGGGCTGAAATCTGCCGTGTTCCAGTTCACTGATTTAAATTTGTGTCCTGAATTATGGAAGATAGTGGGGGAGGGGTGGTGGCTGTCTTCCATTCTGACTTAACTACACTACGAAAGCAAGAGGTAATGAAGCATCCAGGATGGCAGCACCCTTCTCAAGTTTTGGGAACTTTATTCCAGTCCTTGGTTCACTTTTGCATTTCAGCAGATATTGCACTTTTTTTATACATTTGCACCTTTAATGTTTTGTATCCTCCTCTGACTTTTGTGACATGCATTTAGCCAACTTACTTTCTGCTACCACACTGTAAAATTCAGTAATTAGTTTACTCGTGGTTGCTTACCTTTCAAATCCTGGATTGAATTCATAGCAAATGCTGTGTGTGTGTCACGATATATTTGCATAATTCTGTTTCTGATTAGAATCCTCTTTGGAGAAGATTTTTTTTTTAATTGACCCAAGAAACAGCCTGACTGATGGAAAAGGGCTTATTGCATTGCAGTAGGTCTGGGACCAATAGGCTTCCCATCTCATGCATATTTGAGAAATAGCTTGTATATTAGAAATATTAAGAGTGTCCCTGCTCTAATTACATGGCTTTCGATCATGTAACAGAAAAAAGCGAAACAGTGCTGAGATTTCACAAACTTTTCATGTTATGCTATTATTCTGCAGCAGAAATGCTTCTCTAAATATGCTTCTCTTAAGTTTTTTTTTCCCAAGTGTCTCTGCAGAAATAGAATCTTTCATTCTTTTAAAAAGCACACTGCATTATACACAAAAGTCTTCTCCCAGCACGGGGCAATTGTTTCTTACCTGACAATCAATGAATAGCCCAAGGACCGGGTCCCCAGATAAATAACTAATATTTATTTATATAGCCACCCATCTCGCATCCGTCACTCTGGGCAGCTTACAATTGAATTAATAATAAAGCAGGGCTGTGGATATTTTCTGTATCTGAGGAACCTCCTTCATCTGATGGGCCTATGCCATTCACTCTGGCAGAAGAGGCCTTCTTCGGACCCCTAGTCAAGAAATTTCAGCTCGTGAGGTCAAGAAGAGCAGTGGCTCCTGCATTGTGAAACACTTTGCCTCCAGGAGACCCTCCTGGCCTTCTGGAAGTGCCTTAAAATTTGACGTGCTTCGCTGTGGGTGGTTAATTGAGCGAGAGACAAAAGCTCATCCCCCTATCACCCATGCTTTTTGGTATTAACCTTTTTATTTCATTATTAACACTTTTAATGCTTTTGTATTTATGCTTTTACATAATTGTAGTCGCCCAGGGTCAGTGTGGCTAGTGTGATGGGCAGCTGTATAATAGATAAATACTATGTTTGTCTTGCCTGTTACAGACACCGCGGTACAACCTTCGGCGGCGCCAGTCTCTACAAGACCCAGAATCTTTCACAAGTCGATAGGCCTGAGCCCCAGATGTCTGCAAGAGCAGCCAAAGACGTATAAATAACTCCACCGTGTACCGATGCAGCCAAAGGAAGCAGCATCTCTTTTGGCAAGGTTTTGGTCAATAATCACACTTCTTTTGAGTAAGAAAATAATCCATCTGGGACATATGTTTCCTTTTATTTGATTTTTCTCCGAGTATCCTAAGATCTCTAAAGATATTAAAGAACCTGGGCAGGCAAGAGTTGAGCTGGATATTATTATGCCTGGGTTTGATGTGGCTTGCCTCATATTCTTTATCTAGCTTTTGATTTTCACTCCCTGGTTGGCAGGACAATAGATCAATAGACAACAGTTACAAAGAATTTTTTAAATTAATTTTAATTAAGTCTAGAATTTCTCTCCATACATGATTTGGCCCAGTAACCACCATCTTTTTGCAACTCTGACTAGAGCTGAAGTGTCCCCCTGAGTCACTGTTCTCAAGAACGGCATTCCTGTTCGGCATTCCTGTCCTCTTTTTGAAGAGCCGAACTCTACATCTGCTTTTACCTCTGTTCATTCAAATTTGGCACTGGAGACACTTGAGACCGAGTTGGAACGAGACTTTCTTTTTTGTCAGTCTGCTGTGATATTAAGAGCCAAATCTGAGACAATGTTAATGCAATTGCACTCTTATTTTAACCGTCTAATTTTAACCTCTTCAATAAACTTTCTTGTCAAAACAGCTCATTAGTTTTTCATAGGCCTGCAAAGGTCTGTTCCACAATGATGCGTGGGTGTGATGGGAACTGCTTTGCATCCTTTCTCCTATGGGTGCCATGCTGGAACAGCCTTCCTGAGGTAGATCAATAGCAGCCCAGCCTCCAATTTTCCTCAGTCATCCTTCAAGCTGAAATTCATGGCTGCTGTCAAGCTTGCAGATAGTTTGGTTGCAATTTTGTCTGTGGAAAAATGGGCGAAATGGGATTAGAATCTAAACTGTTTTTGCAAAAATCCAGTTTTTAAAATATGCAAGTAAAATATGCCTTTTACAAGAACACAAAAAACCCACTATAGTTAAGTATATGCGGGGAGAAATCACTCTTGAATTAAGCAGACCTTTCTGCTTCTTAAAACAGTTGGGCCAACATGCTTTTATTTCAGTATTTTATTATTAGGACAAACTCCCTTATGATTACTTACTTCCATAAAAATGAGGGCAGGAAACACAACAATTAGTAATTACAAATGACAATGTTTATGAACTTTTCCTTTTAAAGGGAAAGAAATGAACGAACCAAGATGTTTCCCTCAACATGATTTCCTTATGTTCTCTGTCAGGAGAAAAGGCGACATTGGGGAAATTATGATCTATTGTCAGCCCTTCAAGGTAGACCAGACTAAGGAACCAATGCCGCATACATTAATATTACTTTTAATGTAACAAAATCTTGCAAGTCTGAGTAAGTTTCCTTCTCCCTCCCTTTATTTTTGTTTAAATTACGGAGGGGCCTGTCTCAGACACCTACTCAAGTTACTTTTTTGGCCTGGGCTCAGGCCGCCATTTATCTGACTGCTGCCTTGGTAGCAGCTCCTCCTCCATTTCCTCTTCCCTCTACACCCAAGTACGGTTTGGAGGTTCTAGCAGGGGAGCGCAGCTATCGTATACCCTTGACCGAAGATTGGTACACTCCTATCTGGGATGGTCATCCTCTTCCACCGAGCGTGCAGCTTCGGGAGGGACGCACATGGAGCGGTGAGGGAGGAAGGGCACGCGCGCCTAGCCAGCCAGATCAGCCGAATCAACCCTGGCGATCAATGGGGTGACAGATGTCGCAGCCAGATCGCCCTCACATCCGACCCACCCAAGTGGGTCATTAAGTTACACAACCCCAAGCAGAGCACAGTATCATCAGGCTGGCAAGCTGATGCCAAGAAATGACACCCACCCCCCTCACATGAAATCCCAATGGGGGTTAAGTAAAAAATCAGCTTCCCCACCTGCTCGCTTCTGACGCTTTCTGCGTTTCTTGCTTGCCGCCCGGAGGCCTTGCCCTTGGTACAGAGGGTCCAAGGCTGAGATCTCCCCTAAATTAGGTGCTCTGGGCACTGCTTTGGCTGCTTCTATTAGAGTCTTGTTCTTGGACTTCAGCTCTATAGTCATTGGGCCAAGCTAGAAGGAAGAAGAAGAAGGCCTCGTTGATTTGAATGGACACTCAAAATGCATTTATTTATGTAGCTGCCCTCTTGATAGTGAAAGAGTGGTAAATTTGTACTAACTTTTGTCAGTGACCAGCATAGAAAAAAAAGGAAAGTATTCAATGGTATCAAATGTACTAATACAGCACATCTAAACAAAATTCTTGCTTTCGCAAAGCATTGAAGATCTATTGGGGTTTTTTGCCCCAGGCAAAAAGGGAGAATTTGTGAAGCTGTTTGGGTTGAATTGTTTCTAGTGCTATTTGCTTTATGCCTTATGTCTGTTTATAACATTCTACTGTTGTCTTCATAACCCGAGTCATTTGTTCAAAGGCGGCAGCCCAAGATAATTTATATATTTATTGTCAAATTATTTTACGACAAGGTGAATACTTAACTTATTCTTCAGAACTCAAGAATTTTAGCTCTGATGGTTTGCCGTGCTGTATCTCCTTATTCTCTATTCTGTTAACCATTAGTGCTCGTCTCAATTTATGTGAGGATTGAGACTCACTCTTACATTTTCAATTTGCCCATATCGCTCACCAAAACACAGCAAAGCTTGAGTGCTTTCTACACAACTGACATCCCAGTGAGGTAAACCTCCAGACCTGTTGATCTGGCTACCGAATTTTACAATTTTGGGATTAATTTACCAAACCTGAGAAAAAAATTGGACGAGAATATCTTGAGAAATGTTTCCTGCAGAATATCCAGTCCCTTCTCTCCTGTTTCAAATCCTGATAGTCTTTTAGCTCCATTTTATAAATCTTCAACTCTCCCCCCCCCCCTTATCAGTAGAAATATTATAAATTTCCCAGGAAGGTGCTATCTTTGAGACTTCTAATCTCCAGTTAGTGTGAATTATAAAATGATTCTAGAAGGTAACTAGAACTCTTTGGAAAGAATATTTGAGGAAAAAATCCTTTAGTATTATTTTACAGGCTTTTTGTTATGATGCTTCAAACAGCATCTATGGAAAGAGGGTTTTTGTCCTCTGAAATCTGATTGTTATCCTAGCTCCTGGGAAAAGATGGTTGTGAAGACCCCTTCAGTTCAGTCTTATTTTAGTTAGGTCGGATGTTCTTCTGATCAGCCATGGTCTCTTTATATTCATGGTTTTTCTTTTATCTATCACCTACCCAGAGTCATGAAGAAATCAGGCAGCCTTGAAATTTGATGCTGAATAAATACATAGATACATACATACATAGAACTAATATACATTAAGATAACTTCTCCCCTTAGATCAGTGTTTCTCAACCTTGGCAACTTGAAGATGTCTGGACTTCAACTCCCAGAATTCCACAGCCAGCATTCGCTGGCTGGGGAATTCTAAGACTTGAAGTCCAGACATCTTCAAGTTGCCAAGGTTGAGAAACACTGCCTTAGATGGTTCTACATTCAGTGCCTGTTATTTAGAACTGCAGAAGCCTGGATGCTTGCCAAAATGATAGCCTATGAACAACCAAGGCTGGGGCACATACCTCATCATCCTTATCTTCTTCCATCTTAGTCCCCTCTTCTTCTGTAATATGCAGCCCTTCTTCCTCAGCCATTTCAATTTCTGCCCCACTAGTTAGGCCCGAACCCTCCAAGGAGATTCCCACAGGACCAGAGATTAAATCTATCCAAAAACAAACAAACAAACCAGGGTTCTTAAATTATTGTCAGCCTTGAATGGAAAGAGGCTTAAAACAAGGAGCAGTATTCAGTCTGCTGCTTCACACTACACATGCTAGGCCAGTTGGATGAACAAATCCATCCTGAGTCGTAAATCAGAGTTAACATAGTTTACAGAGCAACTAACATTCCAGCCTTGTATCATTTATTCAACAAACTAGTTAAGTTACCCTTAACTTATCATGGGACCACAGATGTAGGACAAGGGGAAGAGAAATGAAAACTATATCCTGTTGGATTTTGTGGAAGACTCTATGTTCAGTTATACCTATTCTAACAGATCAAAGAAAAAAAGGAGGAGGAGGAGGAGGAGGAGGAGGAGGAGAAGAGAAC